CCTAGAACAATACCTCCATTGTTATGTCAGCTATCAACAAGACAATTTGTCTGACCTCCTCCCTTTCAAGAAGGTGGCCTATAACAATGCTGTGCACTCCAGCACTGGATTTGCACCATTACACGTGGTGATAGGGCAAGATTTCGTGGCTATGCCAAAACTCCCATGGCAGACCCCCTAGAATAGCTCTCTTGCCTACTGGATGTCATTCGTACAAAATTCTTGGCTGATCATTTGCAAAGTGCTCCAATATCTAATTCTATGGAAGCATTTCCCTACTTCTGAATCCAAATGGATCCCATGTAAAATCCACTCGCCTCACTCAGAGTTTCCACAACCAATATCCTGACAAGCCTAAATAATTCCTAATTTTTCTTTCCATTTTCTCTTCTCTCCCCTCCAGGTTTAGCACTTGACTGGAGAGATTAAGAAGGTGGAAGTGAGAACTGACCTTTTGGAACATGAGATGGAGAAGGTAAATAATTTGCTGGAAGCTGATTTGGACCAAAATGCAACTTTGGAATGTCAGATACAACAGTTCCAATTAAGATTTTGAGCTATTCCCAAACAGTCAGGAGAAAATATTAGATTAAGGATGGTTAAAGCCCTGACTCAGCTGACCAACTGGGAAGAAAAAAATATAAATCTAGAGATAGATAACATGTTTCAGAGTAAACTCCAGATTTGCTACTATGAGAAGAATACCAAGAGATGGTTAGTTCACTTTAGAAGAACAACAAGAAATCTTGTTTTGGATTGCCATTTTAAATCAAAACTGAGAATGGAAAGTGTGGATATTATTGTGCTGAAGGAAATCCTGTTGAGAATTTTGAGAAAAAGGAAAACCTATGCTTTTCTTACCAATATTTTAAAGAAGAGAAAGACCCCCTTTCATTGGGATAAACTCAAAGGAGTGATATTTTACCTAAATCCTTCTCTGATCATAACATAACCAGTGTTATGATAACCAGAGGTTGAATTATAGATGGAGACTAAATGAAGTTATTTTGTAAAAGGAGGTCATTGTGAAAGATTGTAAAAAGATATTAAAATAGTATTTTGATAATAATTTAGGTAGAGAAACAGCTTTAACAACTGTGTGGGATGCAAGCAAGGGTGTTATGTGGGGTTATTTTATACAGTATAATTGTCTAGATAAGAAGAAATCCCTGGAAAAGATGCAAAAAAATATTAGATGAGATTAGACCGAAAGAAATTGAGCTGCAAAAGAAACCTATGGATGTAAAAATTTCACATCAAATTAAATTGTTGCAACAATTGTCTCTATGTTAACAGTTCAAGAAATAGAAACAAAAATGAAGTATGTGAAACATACTTGCAAATAAACCAGGGAGATAGTTGGCATATAAATTAAGGAAGGAAAGGAAAAATGGTATGATTGAGAAAATTTGTGAAGGGAATAAGATAATAATTGATAATGAACTTGTTAAAAAGACTTTCCATAATTTTTATTCTAACTTGTATAAAAAACAGGAGTTAGATAGGTCTAAAATAGATGAATATCTTTTAAGACAAAGGTTACCTAAGTTATCACAACTCCAGAGGCAACTTATGAATGACCCAGTAACAGCCTTTGAAATATCAGAAGCTATTACAAAAATGAAACCAGGTAAAGCTCCAGGACCAGATGGCCTTACAAGTCAATACTGTAAGTGCTTCGAGGAGGAACTTCTACAGCCACTAAAGGACATAATGAATGATATACTTCAGGAGGGAAGGATACCCCAAACATGGAAGGAAGCCAATATTGTGTTATTACCGAAGGAGGGTCAAGATCCTACAAAGACAAAGAATTATAGACCAATTTCACTATTGAACAATGACTATAAACTGTTTGCTGCAATTTTGGCAGAAAGACTAAAGAAGATTTTACAGGTTCATGAAGACCAATCTGGCTTTCTGCTAAAAAGGCAGTTAAGGGACAATGTGAGGACAGTTTTGAATATCACTGAATACTTAACAATACCACAATGAGAAACAGGTAGCTTTAATATTCCTAGCTGCAGAGAAGAACTTTGACAATTTAAATTGGACTTTTATGTCTAAAGTTCTGGAAGAAATGGACTTTGGAGAGAGCTTTATTCAAGGAGTTAAAGCTATTTACATGTCACAGCAAGCAAAAATTGTTATTAATGGTGATTTAACTTATCCATGTGACATTCAAAAGGGTACGAGACAAGGATGCCCCTTGTCTCCCTTGTTTATTTTGGAAATTTTAAATAGAGATATTAGGCAAGATCAGAGAATAATGGGTATCAAGAAAGAAGTTTATAAATTGACAGCATTTGCTGACAATTTAGTTATATTATGTTGAGAAAATTAAATGAATTTGGGGTTCTAGCAGGTTTTAAAATAAATAGAAAACAACAATGTTGATCAAGAATATGTCATCCCAGGATGGTGATATATTGAATAAAAGGTCTGGCTTCAAGGTTGAGAAAAAGGTGAAATATTTGGGGGTTATGCTGACAAATACAAACACAAAATTGTTTCAAAATAATTATGTACCTCTTTGGAATGATATAAAAAAGGATTTAACAAAGATGGACAAACTGCATTTATCATTACTGGACAGAATTTCAGTAATTAAAATGAATGTTTTATCAAAGATGCTATTTCTGTTCTAGACAATATCAACACTTGCAATGGACATTCCATTTAAACATAAGTAGAGGGATATCTCTAAATTCATATGGCAAGTAAAGAAACCAAGAATCAAATATAAGTTATTGCAAGATGCCAAGGAAAGAGGGGGTCTGGGTGTACCAGATTTGAAATTGTATTTTGATGCATACAGTTTGGTTTGATTAAAAGAGTGGGTGAACCTCCAGAATAAGAGGCTGCTCGATTTGGAAGGCCATGAATTAAGGTTTGGATGGCATAAGTATTTATGGTACAATAAAGTTAAAGTAAATGTTCATTTTAATAATCACTTTATTGGATGTGCCATATTAAGAGTTTGGAATAAATATAAAACAAGGGTTTTTTTTAATGAAATTGCCCCTATGGGTGTCTCCCCAAGAAGCTTTTTTAGAAAAGAAATGGTGATGAAACAGGTCTGGTGGATATATGGTAAAATAGTATCTTTCAATTCTGGAGACCCCATCCTCAAGTCTAGGGAAGAATTAGAATTAGAAGGTCACGCTTGTCACTGGTTTACATATCAACAAATGAAGAAAAGATTTAAACTAGACAAAAAAGGCCATGGTTTTGAGTTTGCTAAAAAAGAGTTGGACACCCTACTACAGGGGTGTCAAACTCAATTTCATTGAGGGCCGCATCAGCATTGCGGTTGCCCTTGGGGGGGGTGGCCAGGTGGGTGCGGCCTACTGGGTGGGTGTGGAGGGAGTGGGTGTGGCCTACTGGGTGGGCATGGCCAGCTCTACATTGTTTGCGACAATGGTGCCTGTGGGGGCCTGGGCAGGAGTGGGACAGATCTGAGGGTCTCTGGCAGAAGGGGGTGGGATCAGGGCAAGTGCCAAGGTATGGCCCACTGGAGGAGCCTCACTGTTCTTCTCAGGCCATGGGGGGAGGCTGGATGGTGGTGCGGGCTGCCTGGAGCCCTGGGCAGCAGAGGTCAAATGCCCAGCCTGGCCCTCGAGCACCCATGGCACCAAGCCCAGCCCCACTTCCCCAAGGGGGCGCCCAGCTACACTTACCTCCTCCTCAAGGCTGCTGCTGCTGTGCTTGCTCTCCTTAGCCAGATTGTTCATGATGGGTACCAGGGCAAAGTCAGAGGGAGGCCCATTCCCTCTTCATCGGAGGAGACCCAGCTTTGTATCCAAAGCTTCCTTAGCAATAGGATGGGAGACCCCCAGGATAAGCCAGGAGGAGGGGGCAAGGAGATGGTGAAAGGGCAGCAGGGCAGGACTTCCCTCAGACCCTCCCTCTCCTCTCCTTTCCTTCTTTCCTTCCTAAGTACAGAGTGGTGGGGAAATATTTGAGATGAGGGAGGGAGAAAAACAGGCAAGAAAGGCAGTTGGGGAGGTGTCACCCTTCATGAGGAATGAAGAAATGCACCATCGCATGGAAGTGGCCAGCACATCGCCCTCACCTACTTCACATATCTGGCTTGGTGGGCTCTGGGGAAGGGGATGCCATGAGCAGCGTGAGAGTCAATGTTACCTGCGCAATGCCACCCAGCCCCCAGCCTGCCCAGTTTCGGCAGGCAGCGAGGCACTCTCCTCACAGCACCGAGAGGCTGAGCCAGGCGGCATGAATCCAAAAAAAGCACGACGCCACCCAGTCCCCAGCCTGCCTGGTCTTGGCAGGCAGTGGGGCATTCTCCTCACAGTGCCGAGAGGTTGAGCCAGGCGGTGCGAAGCTTGCCAGCTTTGCACCTTGCTGCCTGCTGAAACTGGGCAGGCTGGGGGCTAGGCAGCATTGCACTTCTCATCAAATTTGTGCCACCCGGCTCAGCCTCTCGGCGCTGTGAGGAGAGTGCTCCGCTGCCTGCCAAAACCCCTCCCCCAGAGCCCATCAAGCCGGATATGTGAAGTAGGCCAGGGCCATTTGCTGGCCACTTCCAGGCGATGGTGCATTTCTTCATTCCTCACAAAGGGTGACACCTCCCCAGCATGCATCCAGGGGGTGGGGCTGAAGCAGCAGGGTCTGGTTCCTCACTGTTTCCAGACGGCCGTGTGGAGCTAAGACTGAATGCATTTCAGCATAGATGGCCATCACAAAATTGTACATTGGCTCCCTCCTGGCCGGCCTGGGCCAGGGCCAAGGCAGTGGGGGCCGTTCTCTCATTGTTTCCAGGATGGCTTTGCGGGCCACATGAAACCACTTCGAGGGCTGCATCCGGCCCCTGGGCCTTGTGTTTGACATGTCTGCTCTACTGTGTGTTTTGTAATAATACATAAATTAAGAATTAATTGATTAGTTTGATTAAGTGCCATCAATTGTTATTGACACTTAAAGACCACATAGATTTTCTCTAGGAGGAGGATAACCAAACAAACAAAAAATGAACTTACCCTGAATTGCTGGGCCCCAAGCAAATAAATAGTACCAACTCAGATGGAGATCTACGATAGTTTCATCCCTGGGAACCTTCACTGGGCGCTTAAATCGACATGTGACATGATTATTTTCAAAAATACCTTCTTCATCTCTGGCAGGGTTTCTTTGGATTTCTTTTGCCCACTGACCAACATTGTAGAAGTGATGTATTCTGACTCTTCCATTATCATCATGAACACAGGCCATAACATCATCTCCACCCTAAATTGAAAAATGAACTAAGAATTTCACTTGAAGATTTCTACTGAAGTATGAAGATAGGTAATCTCGGCATAAGTGATCTCAGTATTGGAGAATGAGTCAGATTATAGATGAGGGTCAAATTGCTGAGATATTATAATGGTCTGAGAGAATATCATGCTTCTCCTGCCTGCCGCACTCTCCTTCATTCAAATCCTCCAACCTACCTACCTTCTCTGCCATCTCTGCCTTTTGGCCACCCTGCACTGTGGCACTGCCTCCCTCTGCTGCCCCCCCCCCGACTGATCCTGGCTGTCTTGTTCCTCATGCTGGGGTGCATCTGGCCCAGGCATCTGCTGGCCCTTTCAAGGGAGGAAGAACATGGCAAAGTTCAGTTAAGAGCAATGGGAGATAGCAGAAGTAGCTGATGATGGTGTTGGCAGTGGATTGCCGGACAACCAAAAGGCATGAGGGTGGGCACCATGAAGGCCTTGCAAAGGCTTAACAAAGGGACAACAGCTGACTCAGCTGGACATGTCTTGTCAGCAGTGGGAGCAAGAAGACAGCAAAGCATAGATAGCAGGGATAAGCGGTAGCAAGATTCAGGGCAGTCAGAAGGGCAGAGATGGGAGGAGATAGGCAGTTGGGGTAAATTAAAGTGCATGTTGTGGTTGAAAATGGGGAAACACCTGAATTTTGATCATATAATCTGGGGTACTGCAATTGCTGTAACTCTGAGAACCAATAATAATTACCATTTTTCCAATGTCATAATAATTTTGAATAGTTGCTGAATGGTCATTGAGTGAGGGCTACCTATTTGTAACCTTACAAATAAAGATAATGTCAGTACCCATGACTGGTGCTTCTTCTTTGAATTATATCTAAGGGCTGAGTTAAAATTTTCATCTTATGATATTAAGCCCACCTTTTTTCTTCTTTTTTTTCTGGAATGTCAAGCCCTCTTTTTGAATCTAACAACATATATAATAACCAAAATAAGATCAAATCAAATTGCTATTGATAGACACAATTTATTTCCTCAACTAGTGGGATAAAGACCACAAAATTTTATGGAAGAGAAGGGGCTAGATCTGGCTTATACTGGTTCATAAAATATGATTATTAAATTTTCTGTAATTTTGTGAGCCATTTGAGAGCAGAACTAAGCAACAACACTTAGTGCACCTATCAGCTGTATGAAAGCAAGTGTGGCAATGGATATGGAGCCATCAGAGCTGGTTGTTAAACATTGACCAAGACATCACTGACTATACTCTCCTTGTAGATAAAGTTGATTAGTTTCATTGAGGAAGGAAGGAAGGAAGGATGGGAAGTGCAGGTTCCCCACTGTGAAGTGGGTGAGAAGGACTCCTATTGACCCACTGCACTCCCATATCCCACACCTACCTCTTTATCTTTACCCCTTGCCTCTATCCTCTTTGTTTTTCTGCCCAATGGTTAGGCCGGTGGCTGAAACTGTTGCCCTGATGCTGGTTGACACTGAAACAAGTAAAGAGTTCAGCAAAGGCTGGCCACCAACTAGAGATCGGAGCTGGGCTAAAGTCATAGAACTGAGGCCCAGAGCTAGGGAGAAGGAGAAGGAACAAGCAAGGGCATGCTGAATCCAGGCCTCCACTTGTAATTCAGAGGTCAGAGATGCTGAGCCAAGCGAATGGCATTTGCATTTACTTTTGCATTTGTATCAAAATGCAACATCAAAAAGGCAGCAAAAAGGCTGAGGCAGCAACATCAAAAAGTTTCTAAGGGTGAAATTTGGAGTCAAGAGATGCTGAGCCAAGCCAAAACACTGGCAAGATCTGGTGAAGGAGAAGATGCAGCGAGGAAGCACCAAAATGTGGTCCTACTCTGGTCAGGAAAAGAGGTTTCAAATGTGACAGTTGATGACAGTGGCAGGGGCAATAGCAGCTATAAGACAATGGATAAAAATGCTAGTGTGGGATAGGTTGGAGAGCTGACTTGGAATTACATGGTGATACCAACAAGCCTAGATACACATTTGGCAGATAAAATCAATCACATTCACTCATCTAAATGTTGCTTGAGCAGGGTCTGCAGGATTATCTTCACGACCTGTTTTCCTTGTTATCTTCTGGGAGGAGGTTTTGTGGTATCCAAAGCAGAACATCCAGATTCAATCACAGTTTTGTTCCATATGGTATTAAGCTTGTGAACTCTCAAGCTTCCTCTTTCCATTACGTATTCAAGATAGACAGTGATTAATATTTATTTAGGTATACATATATGTTGTATATAGTATGTTTATATGTGTGTTATGTATGTATGTGTACACTTTTGAGAGCAGACAATAGAATTTCATTTTTAATGTGTGCCAGTCTGCCCACAGTAAAAAAATGACAATAAAAGTTATCTTATCTATGCTGGACTCCAATGCAGCGTCTATGAAAGTGATGGGGACTACATCTTGCAAGCCAATCTGGGAAGAATTTGAATCGGAGGAGATGGACAGGGCTCTCTCAGTTACTAGTCTGGCCACCACCTGTGTATTAGATTCTTATCCCTCTTGGCTAATTAAGGCCTCACTGGAGGGGACACCTGAGTGGGTCTGGGCAAGCTCTTAAAGGATCTACTTAAAAGGACCATTGCATGACCTAGCTAGCGGGCATAGATTTCTCCAGTTTTCAACCTTCCCTTTCTAGGGAAGGGTTTGGGTTTGGGACTTAGACAGCACTCATAGATGACCTCTGGCAAGAGTGGGAGTGAGATAGTGCATCCATTCTGGTTCTTCTTGACTTCTCAGAAGCATTCAATGCTATCAATCATGGTATTCTTCTGAGCCAGCTCTGGGAAGTAGAGGTGGGTGGCATTATATTATGCTGGTTCTCCTTCCTCTATAGCCAGTTCTAGTTAGTGTTGATAGAGGGAGAGAGATCTAGCCTGCAGCCCCTACTTTGTGGGATGACTCAGGGCTCTGCTCTCTCTTCTATTTAACATTTACATGAGGCTGCTGGGTGAGGTGATCCATTGGTTTGGGGTGAGTTATCATCAGTATGCAGATGACATCCAGCTTTATATATCTACTCCAGACCCTTGAGTGATGCCACTTCAGTATCTGGAGGCTGTTGGGAAATGGATGAAGTGAAATGGACTCTGACTCGTCTCTAGCAAGACGTAGTGGCTGTAAGTATAGGGACCCCCTGAAGACAAGGTTCTTCCATCTCTGATTCTGGATGTGGTTGCACTGCCCCAAACAGACCCAATGCACAATCTGGGAGTCCTCCCGGATTCACAGGTCCTGCTCGAAAAGTAGGTAGCAGCCATAGTCAGGAGGGCCTTCGCACACCTCCAGGTGAGGCACAGTTGCTCCCATGGACTGGGAAATCCTACTCACAGTAACTCACACCCTTATAATCTCCAGGTTAAACTATGGTAACACAGTCTACATGGGGCTGCCCTTGAAAAGCATCCAAAACTTCAAGTGGTACAGAATGCAGCTGCATGGGTAGTAAATATATAGCACATGTAACACCACTCCTATATGAGCAGCACTGGTTACCAGTATGTTTCTGGGTGCAATTCAAGGTTATCTATAAAGTCCTACATGGCTTGGGACTGGGCAAGCTTTTTCTGCAATGGCCCCCTGCTCTATGGAACATCTTCCCTTCAGAGATTAGAATAGCCGCAACCCTGTTAGCCTTTTGTAAGACCTAAAAAACTTGGATATGTTCCCGAGCCTGGAGCGCTGAATGTGCTCAGGGCCCTGTTTCCTGGCTACATTGTTAACAGACTAAATATCTTGCACTTGTGTATCTTGAATAGGATGTTTTAAAGTATTGTTGCTGGTTTTAATATTTTTTACTGGTTTAACTGTTTTTATTTTTTAAAATGTTTTTTGAATTTTTATTGTAATATATGTTCTGAATGGTAAGCTAACCAGAGTCATTTACTGAGATTGGCAGCTATAGAAACGAAGGAAGGAAGGAAGGAAGGAAGGAAGGAAGGCCTAGGAATATTCCATAAAGAAAGGAAGTTCTTTATGTGTGATTGTTAAAATAACAAGGAATTGAAAGAAAAACAGTAGGTTCCCCTCTAATTAGATATTCCTTTCATTAAAAAATTCAAATATAGAAGGTTCTAACTGATTTTAGAACCACATTTGCCATGGCCAAAAATTATAAAGAAGAACAGGTTTATTGATTAAGTGAAACACCTTCTAGGGATAAAAGGAAAAACATTTACTTAAAATTGTTTATCATCCTTAACTGGTTATCACATTTCTGTCATTCTGTCCCATCATTAGAAATGCTACATGTACCAAATTGCTACATTTTGTCATTATTTTTATTCAAATAATAATTTGAATTTTTTCCCCTAGAAAAATCAATCATTATTTGAGCAAAGAACACATTCTTACCATTTTCTTATCTGAAGAAAATCCTACAGCTACCCAGCCATCAGCTTCAGCACTCAATTCAAACTCTATGTCAGCTCCTATTCTGCGGTAACTGAGAAAATAGTCGCATGTATCTGCAGCGCATCCAGGTTTACCATACCTACATATGATAAAGGAAATGGAGACCATTCAAAGAACTTTCCTGTTGCACTATATCTGCATTTGCAGCTAAACAACATTAAATTGGCAATTATTTAATATTTCAAGGAAATATTGGACTTAGTGTACTACTAACTTTTCCCCCATTTATTTAAGGTTTTATTGAATTATTTGTTATAGTTTTAGTTATTTTTTTTTACTACTTTATGTATCAGTTCTTAATTCATTAGCTTATGAATGAATCCTGACCCCTGAGAGTGGGAAGAAAATAAAAATGTGACAAAAAGTGCCCAGTCTATATGATTTCTACAAAATCAGTCAAAGTATCTGATAAGAAAACATAAAGCATAGTGGGTATATTAAATTTGATTTGAATAGTGAATAACAATGAGGTGTTGGAACCAGAGCTAGAAAAGTAAAATCCTATAGTACTCTATTGGAACAATAGATACAACAAATTGTCTTCTGTTTCTGTGGTCTTGTCAGTTGTTCCAATAAAATAGTGATCACTTCTCAAATATCATTTGGAAGACCCCAGGGGCTCATTTCATTTAAATTATGAACAGAAGCAGTGCCTTTTTAATTAGCAGCACTAAGTAAAAATATTGACTTGCTAAAATATCATTTTGAAGTTGTTACACAAAAATACTCAGAAGACTGAATCCTTATTGTTGTTATTTGATGTGCAGTCCTTGAAAACCTTAAGAGTTACACATCAAATAACAATAAAAAGATTACTTAATCATAATGACCCAACACTGATTTTTCCAGACCCTTTCCTTTGCTCCTTGCAATTTAAAGCTTGGTGCTAGAACACATAAGATAACTATTTTCCATCAATATGCTTTTGTTAATGAATTTGATGGTTCCTGATGTATCTAATAGGCAACAGGCCCTTAAGCATGTGTTAATATGCTCAACATTTTTCTTTGAAACAACTTAGTTGTTTCAATAGGGGAACATGAGTAGTTGATCCCTCAGTTTGACTTTACAATAGACACTGTACCAAATACTTCCATACAATACTGCAGGTTGGAATATATTTCATTTTCATATTCTCTTATTTCTGGAAATTTGGGCAACAGTAGGTTTCAAAGTGTATGTCTTTGCTTTGAATATTTTGGGAAAGTCTCCATTGTCATGAAGGGTACTGTTACAGGCAGTTTTGCCTTGTTATTTCTACTAGTCTATGAGCTGAGCTGATTGAACTCAGCATTTGTCAATACTTCGTATACATATTTGACAATTTAACGATCACAGAATCATAGGGCTGGAAGGGACCTTGGAAGTCTTCTAGTCCAACCTCCTGCAATCCATTTTCTTCTTGAAAATCTCCAGCGAATACCTCCAGTGATGAAGCATTCACAACTCCAGGAAGCAAGCTATTCCATTGATTAATTGTTCTCACTGTCAGGAAATTTCTCCTTAGTTCCAGGTTGCTTTTCTCTTTAATCAGCTTCCACCCATAGCTTCCTCAGATGGAGAATAAATTGACCACCTTTTCTTTGTGACAGTCCCTCATGTACTGGAAGACAGTTACCATGTCACTCCTAATCCTTCTCTTTGTTAGGCTAGACATTCATAGTTTCTTTAACTGTTCATCATATAGTTTAGTCTCCAGACCCCTTATCTTTTTTCTGGTCTTCTCTGCACTCTTTCTAGGGTCTCAGATCTTTTTTGTATCATGGCAAGCAGAATTGGATGCAACCAGCTAGCTCAAAGAACTGGTTGATGAAGAGGTTTATAGCTGACAATCAGTACTTTAAATTCACTGGCAACCAGTACAGCTCACAGAGCAGTAGTAACATAATATGGGGCAAATGTAATACAAAGGAAAACCAAGATGCCATTACATTGCTGCAGTTTCCTAGTGGTTTTCAAGCACAGCATTGCAGTGAGTTGAGACAGGATAGTGATTAAGGCATGAGTGAGTGATTATGAGCAAGACCTCCCAAGTCAGAAATAGATACAATCTTTGCACAAGATACAAAGGCCCCTGAATCATGGCTATCAGCTCTGAGTAGGCCAGTCCAAGGAACAAATATTGCAGGGATTCCAGGGGCTTCCGGTAATCTTGCTAACTGTAGTCCCTGGGGAACGACGGTCCATTCCCTGGGTCCGAAATTCCTTCACTGGCGAGCCCGTTTGGGCTAAAAGCCACCCTGGAGGGGTGGCTGCTGAAGGGTGAACCTTTGGAGAACAGGAGCTGGTGGTAGCTGGCTCTCCGAACCCAAAGCAGCCCCTGGAACCAGCAAAAGAAGGGCATTTATGCGAGTCGCCATTAGCAGCTGATCTTCGGAGGCAGAAAACAGCTGATTTTGAAAGCAAGCAGCCGGTCCGGGTGAGACTATACTTCTGCTCTTTGTGGAAAGTGGATTTTCTTTTGAGATAAATAACCTGTCTTTAACTAAAGCTGGAAACTTGAAGGGAGGAAGGAGGAGGGTTTTTTCTTCCCTCCCCTCCCGCACAGGCGGCAGTGTAAGCAACTCCATTATTAAGAAAGAAATTTAATTGGGACTATTTTAAAGTTTCTTTTTTATTAGAGAAATTCAAAAATAAAGGATACTGTATTTGGGAAAGCCATCCTAACTACATTTTCTTCTTTTTAAAATTTTAAAACTGTGTCTTCACTTGAATAAACTTTGAAAGAGACGGCGTTGGTGGCTACATTTTAGCACTTTTTTTCTTGCCTTTGTTCTCAGTGTATTCAGCTGTTAAACTTGGCTCAATGCCCAGACACTTGGCTGCATGCCCAGACATTCTTATCTCTCTGTAAAAGTTATATATAGAGAGACTGCTTAGTTTTCTATCTGACCTGTTGGCTAGCTGTATACTTCCTATAGCAAGGAAATCTATAAAAGAAGAAGGGAACTCCTTTTTTTGGGTTCCTTTTTTTTTGGATGTGGATAAAATATAATTGAACTATAACCCAGATATTAATTTTTCTTTCCTGGTAATTTTTATCCTGGTTTTTTTTCTTTTCTTTTTTGGGTCTCCTTTTGGAGTCTCCCCTCTTTTTTCTTTTTTTCATGAGGATCTGACTTTTCTGTTGTTTTGTTTTCTGGAGATAAGTATATCATCACTCCTTTTTGTTTTTGGAGATTTTTGTTGTTGTTCTTGTTGTTTCCTTTTTCTATTTTTTTCTCTATTCTTTTTATTCTGGCTCCTGTATTGGATGGTTATGGGAGTTCTTCTTTTTATTCCCCTAAAGGAATTGTTTTAGTTTTTTGTTCAAACTTCGCTTGGCCTTGTCTCCTGGTAATAGGAGGGCACTGGATTACAATTGGCTATTGGGCCACCTGGTGGATTATAACTAGCCATTGGACTGCCTGGTGGATTATAATTAAGTACAACAACTAGAAGATGAGTGCTTCAAATTTAGCTAAAGGGGTGAGGAAGGGCTCCTCGGCCCCCGCTTCAACCTCGGTGAGTTCAGCCCCCCAAAAATCTATTACTACATTTTTACAACAGGAAACTCAACAAAAGGACACTCAAGCCATTCTCCAAGCAATTGCAGATTCTAAAATGGAAATGAAAAAAGATTTGGGAAAAAATTATGAAGATTTGAAAAATGATCTCCTTAAAATGGATCAAAAAATGGAAACCTTTCAACAGGCGATGGCAGATACCCAACAAAGAATGCAAAAAATAGAAGATAAGTCAGTGGTGGTTGACCAGAAAATTGAAGCTTTGCAAGAGGAAAATCAGAGATTGGCGCAAGCTAATGCAGAACTGGAAGACAGCATGGCCGTTATGGAGACTTTTTAAGATTTCAAAATATTATAGAAGATAAGGATGAGAACCTGTTAGAGCTGATGAGCAAGCTATTAGTGGAATTGCTTGGAATGGAAATGGATCAAATGAAACAAGAAATAGATCAGGTTTTTAGAATCAATTCAAGCTATGCAAGAAGAAACAGAGTTCCTAGGGAGGTCCATGTAAGATTTCTTAAAAGATTTACATGTGACGAGACCTTGAGAGCAATAAGACACCAACCACTGAAATACAAAGACAAAGAACTTGTAGTTCTTAAACAGATTCCCAGAAGAATAAGAGAAGCTCAAAGAGAATATCAATTTTTAACAAGGAAACTGTTTAACAAGGGAGTGAATTTTAGATGGCTGGTCCCAGAAGGCTTATTAATTTTTTGGGACTCGAAAAGATATAGATTGGAATTCTATAACAATCACAGAGCCTTTTTAGAAAAAGGCGACTTTGAATCCAAGAAACTGGAGGAAATGATGGGTGCAGGAGCACTGAAACAAACAGAGGAGGGAGAACCAAAAAAAGACTCAATCAGAGGAAGATGTAAGACTGAAAGACCAGAGGCAGATAAGTTTCCCTAGAAGATTGAGGTCTAGATATAACTGAAACTATGGAGGAGATTGGAATTTTTTCAATAAATATAAATGGTCTTAACTCCCCATCAAAAAGGAGTAAAATATTTAATAGATTACAAAAGTTGAAAATGGACATAATTTCCCTTCAAGAGACACATATTAAAAGACAACATTTTAGAATTTTAGAACAACCAAAGATAGGCAAACTTTTTTTTTTCTTTGGCACTGCAAAAGAAAAGAAAGATAGCTTTTTACATAAAAGAAAAGATGAATCCAAAACAAATCTACACTGATGAAGAAGGGAGAATATTAATGGTGGAAATTACATGGAACCAAAAACAAATTTTGATGATTGCGATATATGCTCCTAATGAGAAACAAGACCAATTTTTTCAGCAATTATATGATAAATTGGTGGAGTTAAACTATCAAAATCTCTGCATACTTGGTGATTTTAATGTAATAGTTGATGCAATATGGGACTATAAAAGCCACAAACAAGGAAAAAAGGGAGAAAATACCTTACCTAAGCCCTTTTTAAAGATGAGATAAATTCTGTATACAAGACATGTTAGAGAATTTTAATTTCTCTATTGGTGAAAATAAATCAGAAGTTCTCACAGTTGACTGCATTTAGCTGATTCAAATAAACTCTTTATATTCATATCAAAATATTTACAATACCATACA